AAGTTAATTATTATTTAAAACTTAAGTTAGAATTTTCTTTGTCGAATAATTTACCTTTTGCTACTAGTTTTGGTTATAGTGGTATATAGATAATGATCATTTATTTTTATCTAGAACACCGCTCAGTTTCAATTGTGATTGTGCAGCATTGCCTAAAATAAACTAAAGCTCGCGTAAGCTTCAATCAAAAAGCCTCGACTTATTATTGTCAAGAAAAGCCCGGGTTTTCGTTTCGGAAATTGTCTGCTACTCTTTACGTTCAAGAGTTGGCTGCGCAATGTTGTGAATTTTATAAGCCGGCGGAAGGCAAATTGAAACGGTTCCACGGGACTCTGTAATGCATATTATAGCCAGGCGAACGTTTCCGAGTCCAGTAACGTTGATGTTTAAGCAAGGCTGCCGCTGAATTAAAACGTTAATTAAAACTTAGTTATTGCATTTCGGTTCATAAGAATAACGATTTTCAAAACGACCGTAATACTTGAGAGAAGTGGAACTATTACTTTCGTAATGTTTAAACTTTCTGTCTGAAACTAATTTTGTCACAATTCTAACTAAGATGTATCCATTTTAGAAGAGTTCTTTGGATTCATAGAGTAATTTTTCATAACTGTGTTCATAAATATGCGCTATGCTTATTATATAATTAAAACTAGATTTTTTCTTATTTTCTTTATGTCATTTTAAATTTTTGTTACTGCTATTTCTGGTGTGGTATGTATAAATTTTTTAGCTTAATTTAATATTTTAATCTATAATATATTTTAAATTTAATCTTTTTTAAACTTTGTAAATATTTTTTTAGATGCTGTAAAAATTAAAAAAAAAACTGAATGATGACATACAACCGTGTCATTTATTTATTGTTTCTTTTATTTCGACGATTGGCTGCAAATTAACACTCAAGAATTCTTATTTTATACATCATATTGTTAAACGAAATACTGAATGTGTAAATTTTCTTTCATCTCTCTCGTTTTTATTTCATCGTTAAATAACCAAAATGCAATTAGAGTAGGGATCAAAGTAAAGC